CCACCACCACCACCACCACCACCACCCCCACCCCACATTCTTATGTGTCCTTTACCACTTTCCAGTGATCTGCTCCTGCGCTCAATTTCAGTGTTAAGTCTGGCTCTTGAACTTGAGAATGTGATCTTGAATTTCAACAGCCTGCTTATCTGAGTGTGTTCAAATGTTTCCTTTGTTTCCTCTTGATTCATTTTTTTAACGCAGGCGCCTTATAATTCTGCCAAAGGTAGACAGTGCTGACAGGCCAGTAACGCGCAGGCTGCAGATGAACTTACAAAAAAAAGAGACAGAAGTAGAAAATGTTTGAAGTGTGCAATGCTGCAGCCACAGCCGGCTCCCTGATTTCATTGTGTTTGTGAAGGAATGCACCCCCCCAACCTCAAGAACAAGGAGAAAAAGGAGAGAGAGAGAGTGTGAAGGAATGCACCCCAACCTCAAGAACAAGGAAGAGAAAAAGGAGAGTGTGTGAAGGAATGCACCCCAACCTCAAGAACAAGGAGGAAAAGGAGAGAGAGAGAATAAGAGAGGAAAGGGAGGAAGGAAAAGGAGGGAGGAAGGGAAAGGGGAAGGAGGGAAGGGAGGAAGGAACCACTCACTTCATCTTTGGGCTGGAAAAATGACTCGTTGGTTAAGAACACTTTCTGCTCTTGCAGAGGACCAAAGTTCAGATCCCAGCACCCACATCAGATTGCTCACAGACAACTGTAACTCCAGCCCAGGGGATGTGATACCCCTTTGGGCCTCTGCACAATCCTACACACATGTACACACCCACATACAGAAACACATACACTATACACATATGTAATTTTCTAGGCCCCTGGTGAATGCCTTTAGTCCCAGCATTGTGGAGGCACAGGTAAATGGATCTCTGAATTAGAGGCCAGCCTACTCCACATAGCAAGGTCAGGCCAGCAAGCGCTGTATAGTGAGACCCTGCTTCAAAAATATTTTATTTTCAATTCAAAAGAAGGAAAGAAGCCACACTGGAATTTGAATGTTCTAGAAAGGTGATTACAGCTTCAATGACTGGAGAGGTTAGAATGTTGCAGGTCCAAAGCTTAATTATAATTTGTCTTGGACTGTCTTTAACCCTCTTGTTAGCCATTTTTTGCCCACTTCCGGGTTGGGCCTAATATTCTTGTGGTTATCAGGTCAAATCTTTTTAAGATATTAATTTAGCCCGCTACTTGCTTCTACCAACCAGAAGGCTAAGCATGTGGTCAGAGAGTCTGAGGCATGTATTAGAAATGTCCCCATTTTCTGTAATCTGTCTATCCAATGTTTCCACCAATATATTTCAAGTCTCTTGACTTTGTAACTATAAAACATCACGATACTGTTACCACATTGGAACATACTGCTGAGGTAACATGAGTCTATTTTCAGGTCATGGTCACTCATACTTGGCTCCAGAATAAATGATCTCTTATCCCCTTTAAAGTGAGAGTTGTAATTTTTTTCCCCCTCACACATTGCTGAAAGGGGTGGAAGTCTTTTTTTGTCATTTGTTTTTTTGTTTTTCGAGACAGGGTTTCTCTGTGTAACAGCTCTGGTTGTCCTGGAACTTGATCTGTAGACCAGTCTGGCCTCGAACTTGGAAATCTGCCTGTCTCTGCCTCCCAAGTGCTGGCTAGAAATCTTTTAATTAATTATTTTACTTTATGTGCATTGGTGTTTTGTCTGTGTGCATGTCTGTGAGGTTTTTGAATCCCCTGGAACTAGAGTTACAGACCGTTGTGAGCTGCCATGTGGGTGCTGGGAATTGAACTCAGGACCTCTGGAAGCACAGCCAGTGCTCTTAACTGCTGAGCCATCTCTCCAGCCCCTTTTTGTTATTTTTGTCTCTTCCCCCACCCCCAGCTGAGGACTGAACCCAGAGACTTGTGCTTGCACTTGCTAGGCAAGTGCTCTGCCACTGAGCTAAATCCCCAACCCCAGGAAAAGTCTTTTAAAGCAATGGAGTGGGAATTTAGTCATCTCACAAACCATTTATGTAAGGTCCATATTGTTAGATATGACCAGATATCTCTGAGGTCCCACCCCTCTGCAGCCGCCTCTCTCTACCCTCAATGCTG